ATGCAAAAATACTTAATAAAATACTGGCAAATCAAATCCAAGAACACATCAGAAAAATCATACACCATGATCAAGTAGACTTCATCCCAGGGATGCAGGCATGGTTCAACATACGAAAATCCATCAATATAAACAAACTGAAAAAGAAAAATCACATGATCATCTCACTAGATGCTGAAAAAGCCTTTGACAAAATCCAACACCCCTTCATGATAAAGGTCTTGGAGAGATCTGGGATAACAGGAACATACATAAACATAATAAAAACAATATACAGTAAACCAACAGCCAACATCAAACTAAATGGAGAGAAACTCAACACAATTCCTCTAAAATCTGGAACAAGACAAGGCTGTCCACTCTCTCCATATCTCTTCAATACTGTACTTGAAGTTTTAGCGAGAGCAATAAGACAACAAAAGGAGATCAAGGGGATACAAATTGGAAAGGAAGAAGTCAACCTTTCACTATTTGCAGATGATATGATAGTCTACATAAGTGACCCAAAAAACTCTACCAGAAACTCCTACAGCTGACAAACACCTTCAGCAAAGTGGCAGGATAGAAGATTAACTAAAAAAAATCAGTAGCCCTACTATATACAGACAATAAATGGGCTGAGAAAGAAATCAGAGAAACATCACCCTTTACAATAGCCATAAACAACATAAAATATCTTGGGGTAATGCTAACCAAACAAGTGAAAGAACTGTATTACAAGAACTTTGAGTCTTTAAAGAAAGAAATAAAAGAAGATACCAGAAAATGGAAAGATCTCCCAAGTTCTTAGATAAGTAGGATCAACATAGTAAAAATGGCAATCTTGCCAAAAGCAATCTATAGATTCAATGCAATCCCCATCAAAATACCAGCACAATTCTTCGCAGACCTTGAAAGAACAATACTCAACTATGTATGAAAAAACAAAAGACCCAGGATAGCCAAAACAACCCTGTACAATAAAGGAATTTCAGGAGGCATCACCATCCCTGACTTACAAGCTCTATGACAGAGCTATAGTCCTGAAAACAGCTTGGTACTGGCACAAAAATAGACAGGTAGACCAATGGAATTGAATTGAAAATCCTGATATTAACCCACATACCTATAACACCTGATTTTTGACAAAGAAGCTAAAAATTATACAATGGAAAAAAAAAAAAAAGAAAGCCTCTTCAACAAATGGTACTGACATAACCGGATACTGGCATGTAGAAGACTGCAGATAGATTCATATCTATTGACATGCACAAAACTTAAGTCCAAATGGATCAAAGACCTCAACATAAAAACAGCCACAATGAACCTCTTAGGAAGAGAAAGTGGGAAGTACCCTTGAAGGAATAGGATCAGGAGACTGCTTCCTGAGCATAACACCAGTAGCACAGACACTGAGATTGACAATAAATGGGACCTCCTGAAACTGAGTAGCTTCTGTAAGGCAAAGGACACAGTCAACAAGACAAAACGGCAGCCCACAGACTGGGAAAAGATCTTCACCATCTCCACATCTGACAGAGGGCTGACCTCCATAATATACAAAGAACTCAAGAAGCTAGTCTCCAAAACACCAAATAATCCAATTAAAAAGTGGAGTACAGCACTAAGTAGAGAATTCTCAATAAAAGAATCTAAAATGGCTGGAAGACACTTAAAGTGTTCAACATCCTTAGCCATCAGGGAAATGCAAATCAAAACAACTCTGACATACCATCTTTATACCCATTAAATGGCTAAGATCAAAAACACGAAGGACAGTTTATGCTGGAGAGGTTGTAGAGAAAGGGGAACACTCCTTCACTGCTGGTGGGAGTGCAAATTCATACAGCCACTTATGAAATCAATAGGGCAGTTCCTCAGGAAAATGGGACTCAGTCTACCATAAGATCTAGCCATTCCATTCTTAGCCATATACCCAAAAGATGCACATTCATACAACAGGGACATCTGTTCAGCTATGTTCATAGCAGCACTATTTGTAATAGCCAGAAACTGAAAAAAACCTAGATGCCTCTCAACTGAAGAATGGATAGGGAAAATGTGGTACATTTACACAGTACCTACTCAGTGGGGGGAGGGAGAAACAATGGAATCTTGAAATTCATAGGCAAATGGATGGAACTAGAAGAAACCATCCTGAGTGAGGTAACCCAGTCACAAAAAGACAAACATGGCATGTACTCACTCATATATGGATTTTAGACATAGAGCAAAGTTTGCCAGCCTACAGTCCATACCGTCAGAGAAGCTAGGAAACAAGGGGGACCCTAAGAGAGGCATACATGGTCCCCCAGAGAAGAGGAAAGGGACAAGATCTCCTGAGCAAGTTGGGAGCATGGGGGGAGGGGAGAGGAAGCTAGGAGAAAGAGAAGGGGAGAAGAGGAGGGGAGAGGGAGCAGGAAGGTTGAGTAGGAGGAAGAATAGAGATCAAGAAAAGAGATACCTTAATAGAGGGAGCCATTATAGGTTTAAAGAGAAATCTGGCACTAGGGAAATATCCAGAGACCTACAAGGATGACACCCAACTAACAATCTAAGCAATAGTGGAAAGGCTACCTTAAATGCCCTTACCCGATAATGACACTGATGACTACCTTATATGCCATCCTAGAGCCTTTATCTAGTAGCTGATGGAAGCAGAAGCAGACACCCACAGCTAAACACTGAGTGAATTCCTGGAATTCAGTTGCAGAGAGGGAGGAGTGAAGAGCAAATGGGTCAAAACCAGGCTGGTGAAACCCACAGAACAGCTGACCTGAACAAGGGAGAGCTCATGGACCCCAGACTGATAGCTGGGAAACCAGCATAGGACCAACCCAGACCCCCTGAATGTGGGTGTCAGTTAGGAGGCCTGGGCAATCTATGGAGCCTCTGGTAGTACTTATCCCTAGTGTATGAATGGCATCGGGAGCCCATTCCACATAGAGGGATACTCTCTCAGCCTAGACACACAGGGGAGGTCCTAGGCCCTGCTCCAAATGATGACAGATTTGACTATTCCCCCATGGAAGGCCTCACTCTCCCTGGGGAGCAGAAAGGGGATGGGATAGGGTGTGGGTAGGGTGCAGGGAAGGAGGGGTGGGAGAGGAAACTGGTATTTACATGTAAAACAAGCTTGTTTCTAATTTAAATTTAAAAAGGGGAAATAAAAAAGCTAGGAAAAGAACAAATTAAACTTCAAAAATATAAAGAAATGAAAAAAATGAGTATAAATTATGAAGGGGAAAAACAAAGATACCACAGAAAAAACTAATAAAGTCTTGATTCTTTGAAAAGGGGAAGAAAGTTGTTAAAATTTAAGACTGCAATCTCTCTCCCCTCAAAAGATTAATACAAAAATTCTTACACTGGTATGGATACATACTTTTAAGTGTACATTTATGAATTTCTAAATGTAAGCTTTCCTCTAACTCTGATGAAAACATATTTTCTGTGGCCTTCTGGGCCCCAGTGGAGACCATGAAGATCCAATCACCATGTTACTACTGTTAGACTTCCTGTGCTAAACTGCCCCTGCAGGTCAAATCTGAGCCATTAATACCCAGTAACAAGAACAACCAACCATCTACTAAACAGTCACCTCCTCCTTCCGCCCCTCACACACTCAGCAACTTCCCTGCCAGCTGAAACCACCACTATTACATCTTTATTTCTCACTTCAGACCCTCTGATCTCTCAGCAAGAAGCTCGGAGGACGGGGTTTGGGCTGGGGTTGCTCTGTTTTTTTTTTTATTATTATTTTATTATTAGTTCAAATTAGGAACAAGCTTGCTTCACATGTCAATCCCTCCTCCCTCTCCCTCCCCGCCCCCTCCAACATCCCACCTGCCCCTCCACTCCCCAGGAGGGGAGTGGAGGGACCCATCCCCCCTCCACTCCCCAGGCAAGGTAAGGCCCTCAAAAGGGGCTCCCCAAAGTCTACCACATCATCCTGGGTCAGGCCTAGACCCTTCCCAGTGTGTCCAGGGGTTGCTCTGTTTTATTCTGTGCTATATTCATACCTAGAGCACTCTGCGACATGTCACAGACACTCAGGTAATAACTGAGCTGAAAGACCTCTCTTCTTCCTTCACAGCATTGGATGCAAGGCCCACAGTTAAGAAATATGATCTGTTTGTATTTTGAACGTAGCATGAGCCACACTGACTGGGCCTTTAAATTGGGTCCTGCTAACAATCATGGTGTACACTATCTTTAAGCTGCTCAAATGTATTCAAAACAATGAAGATTGGGTCCTACTACTTAGAGCTACAATTCCATTTAACTTGACAATATAAACTACCATTGATTCAAGCAGTTAACTTAAACTAATGGGAACTCAATCATGTAATGACAAGTTTTTGGTTTTGCTTTTAATAGAAAAGTACCTTATAAAACTTGTGATGTACACATGCACAAACGTTGCCATCAAATACTGACAATCAAACCTGTCCATTATCCCACCATGTCCAGGAATGGTGTTTGCAAAATCCTGCAGAAACAAACAAATGCACAAAAATATCACCTGTATCAAATTCTGACATGTAAATGTCTTTTCAGTATGATAGACTTTATAAGGAAAACAAATTTACTATTATTTTTTTCTAACAAATACAAATGAAAATATAACCAACAGACAAAAATGTTATTTTTCAAATCTCCACTCACAGTTTAATGATTTCTAAATTGGCCCACAGAACTGAAATAACACTAAATATTAATTAAGTCTAGCACTTTTTCTCATTAATGTAATTTTCCTAAATCAAAAGTCTACCAACCATCCTTATCTAATTTGTAACTGCCTATGCCCCTGCATGGCAGAAGCTGTGTGGGAGCTGCCTCAGTGTGTCACGGATACACAAGCATTTCTAACCTGTGTTTATCCAAACACTCCAGTAATAAACAATCTTCTTTCTGCACTGAGGGAAAAAAAAAAGAACATAGCAGCTGGCTCACTGACAACATGTTCGTCCACAGCCTGAGGATAGGCTAGGTGGTGAGGCTTCTGCAGATGCGCTCATTGCCCGAACCCCAGAGAACACAAGTTAACTCATGGACTGCTGTGGACTTGGAAAAATGTTCTTCGAAATCTGACAAGTCAGAAAGCCTGATAACCCCAAGAGAGACTGGGCAATGCTAAGCTGCAGACAATGCATGGCCAGATTCCTAAAGTCTTGAAGCCAGAAGAGGCTAAGACACTTCAAAAGAAATGAATATAGCATGGCCAAACCTACCCAAAAAGGAACACACTCAAACCAGCCAGGTAGCATGGCTGTGAGGCTAAAACAGATTTCAGGGATGGTCTGATTCCCATAGGCTTAGTGTGGCCAGTTGTGGACCACATGCCAATGACAATACAGCTCCTAACTATAGACACTAACAACATAGCAGAGAATGTAAAAACACACCTTGATTTTAAAAGCTCTTTTGAATCCACTGGCGAAGAAGCCTCCGAATGGGCCAATCAGCGATGCAAATGTTGAAAGTGCAATGCTATGTATCTGGAAGGGATACATGCTCACTGTTTCCTAAGGAGGAAAGAGTGGAGAGGACCAGCTGCATTAACACTGTACTTATTCATGCCACATAGCCTGGAAACCACGGCAGACATTGGAGGTCAAACCAGGCCACAATTTTGTTAACTTCTCAAGCTTTAAAGACCGTGAGAGAAAAATGTCATCATCAGCAGTCTCCACGTCCTGTGCCAACTCCCTGTCCGGCACCCACAGCCTCACTGTCACACCTGGTAGAATTCTAGCTCAGCGGGGGAATTAGGAAACAGCTGTGTGGGGGATTCACACTTTAGTTTACTCTATGTTTGCTCTTTTGGCCATAATACTTTGTTCTTATAATCATAGGATTTATTTTAATTTTATATTTCATAACACTAGTTTTAAACGATGAAATAGCAAAAAGTTGTCTTTGTCACAAAAACTAAGTTGAAGCTATGGAAACACATGGGGAAAAAATTCTTTTCTTTTTCTTTCTCTCTTTTTAAAAAAACTGGTTTTTCAAGACAGGGTTTCTCTGTGTAACCTTAGCTATCCTGGAACTTGTTCTGTAGACCAACCTGACCTCGAGTACTGGAATTAAAGGTGTGCTCCACCACTGCCCAGCTCAGAAATAAGTATCTTAAAATACTGTTACGGGGTAGTGGCATGTACTCTGTAAGCTGACATAGGAGTACCTTGAGCTGAAGGCCAGCCTGGGCTACATGGTAAAACCCTGTCTCAAACAAAACAAAACAAGTCAAAATGAGCATGAACAAAATGATTACAGAAGATTTAGAGAAATCAACTAAACAGAATTTTCTATTTTTAAGTATATGGCTCTTTTCCGCCTTAAGTAACTATGAACTAAAAGCAGCATATAATGAATGTGGCCCTGGAAATTTTTGATCTGTTCTCAAAGAACAACATTGCTCCAAACTTTAGACTGATACCAGCTAAAGTTTTATAGCATGGAACAGGAAGCATGGATATTGAAAAACTGTTTAAAACCAAATATCAAGTGTTCAGAGATAAATTACTTATAGATTAACTTGTTTCTAAAAACTTGCAGGTGTGAGATTGAAGTATAGTGGACACACACACACCTTCATGTGCACACACAGTTACTGTATGTCCTTACTTGCTTGCTGCTGATGTGAAGGAAGGGGTTATTTGGCTCACAATTTATAGTCCCTCACCAAGGCAAGCCAAGGCAAGGACCTGGAGGGAACTGTGCTTGCTGGCTTGCTTTCTCTAGCTAGCTCAGCTACTTTCCTTATACAGCTCAGGCCCACCTGCCTAGGGATGGCACCACCCATAGTGGGCTTGGGTCTCCTCCATCTAGCAGCAATTAGGAAAATGTCCCACAGACAAGCCCACAGGACATTCTGACTTCAGTTGAGGTTCCCTCTTCCCATGTAAAAACTAACCAACCCACTTTTCCCCCATTTTAATGATGAAACAACAGACAGGAAGAGTCTACCACAGAGCATACTGAGAGATGATGTCTCAGCTGTTTGGTGGCAATGGTGGAAATGCCAGGACTCATTTTTAGGAGATTTCTATATTAATAATGACCCCTAAATAATCAAGGACTCTTTCAACTGATGAATCTTAATTAAGTTCTATACTTACTCAAATCATATCGGTATTCATTTATTTGTAAAAAAAAAAATCTTCATATTTATTTCTAAATTTTATTTTACTTTTTAAAAACATAAAATAAATTGCTATCAGTATTTAAATCATTATGCAAATAAATTCCTAGTGTACAAACATATGCTTGGAAATGTGAGTACCCATTTGATGTTTAAGATGATGCCATCTACATCTTTTAAGGAAAGAACCAGGATACCACTTTCTAGGGAAGCTCAGCCGGGAATGATGGATCTCCAATCACATCCGCTAGCCATTCACTCTCACCCGTCTCAGCACCGCCTTTAGGAATGGAGGGAGGGAGTAACTCTGGAGCTGGAACAGTTCTGAGGGCTCACATTCTGTCACAAAAGAGTTGACATCGCTTCTGTATTCCACTGGGCACACAAAGTACTGGTATTTGGACAACACATAGGCGGCCTGCGGAACAAAGCAAGAATCCATGAGCTACTGCCCAGTAAAAGGGAGCTGAGAACCACAGGACAGAGCCAGGTGCCGAGTGTCTTTGTATCGGCATTTGGCTGTGTATTCACACAGTTAGGTCAGGAGGGTCCCAAGAGAAACACTGAAAAACCTTCAGAGAATGGAAGAATTTTTGAAAGCAGTGAGATCACCATACAAAATCACAAGGGGCGGGGCTAATGTGGTCTTGATAGAGCTTCATGGGAGATCTTACTTTTAAATGTTATCTTATTACTATTCTAAGAACATATATGTGGTGTGTGTGTGCATGCCAGGGAACTTCCCTGTGGAGTCAGTTTTCTCCTCCTTTTTTGTGGACTATGGGGGATCAAACTCGGGGCCCCATGACTTGCACAGAAAGTGCCTTTACCCACGGAGTCATCTCTCCAGCCCAAGGCCTTACTTTTGAAATGTCTACATAGTTACTCTTAGCAGAGCCTAAGAAGACACAGTGCAGGAGTGGATTATAAAGATATGGGCTGTGCAGGGGGGCTTATTGCACGTATACTTGTGTTAATTTCATCAACTGATACAAAAATCACTAAGCAAACAGTATACAACAGTGCAGGTGTAAGGTACCACTGTCCCTTAACAGCCTAGGATGCCTGACTCAACTGTTCATCATTGCAATCTTTAAAATTAGCCATCTTCAGACATGGAAATGGGAGATAAGGTAAAACATCTTGTATGTTTGGTTCCACTTCTCTTCCAGCCACTCATTCCATTGTTTTGCTCAAGAACTGCAGAAATTCAAATATGCTGCTAGGAATAGATTCCAACTGCTCTTTGCTTCCAAATGAGCCAGTTTCTTATCTGGTTGCATGTTACATTTTCAGGGCTAGCTTCTTCCAATGATGGGGCTTTCCACATGGAATCTCTAAATAATAAATGCTTATGGTATTACTTAACTTGGTGTTTATTTTTGACATGTAAACCTTAAGTGGGACTGGATCCTCCATATGTATCAATGATTACTAACATTCTACCTCAGAATTTGCTTTTTTTCCCCAAATTCGACTAGAATTTTTATTCAGAATGAATTATGTTTATAAACTAAATAGTGGGGTAGTTTCCTCACATAGGACAATGCCACACTTATTTACTCTCCCAAAGCTTTGTGTTGTTATTATTACAGATTTAAATTTTTGCGTTCCCTAAGAGTAATTTTTTGGGGCTGGAGAGATGGCTCAGAGGTTAAGAGAACTGACTGCTCTTCCAGAGGTCCTGAGTTCAATTCCCTGTAACCACATGGTGGCTCACAACCATCCGTTATTAGATCTGGTTCCCTCTTCTGGTGTGCAGATATATGTGGAAGCAGAATGTTGTATACATAATAAATAAATAAAATATTTAAAAAAATTCAGATCAACCTTTAAAAAGAGAGCAATTTTTGTGTATTTTTTCTCTAGTCATTTATAGACCCCTTATTGATACTTTTTATTATAGTAATTTTATTATTATTTGAGGAGGGACATTGAGACAGTCCCACTGTATGGCTCTGACTGTCCTGGAACTCAATAAGTAGACCAGGCTGGCTTTGAACTCACAGAGATCTGCCCGACTCTGCCACCCCAGTGCTGCCACTAAATATCTTTAATCAAACCTAAGCTCTAGGACTAGGGATGAGGCTCAGTAGTGAGTGTTTGCTCAGCATGTTCAAGGTCCTGGGTTCAATCCCAAGCACCAAAGCCAAATAGAACACTGGCCCCAAACCCTACAACCATGGGCTAATATTTTAAACATGAACATGCTGGACTCACAACAGGAAATACTCATTGATCCAGTGGCCACCATGTGTCGGAAGGCAGACCTGAACACCATCTTCATTCTGTAAGTACTCAGAGGACACCTGTCCCAGCATCTGTACTCTCCTAAACAAGCAGTGAAGCCTCCAAAAAGTACCAAAACAAACAACACCATGTGGATCTCCAACGTGGCTGCACTCTCCAGCACAATGTGGATCTCCAACGTGGCTATACTCTGGAATCACCTGAGAAAGTCCAGCACTCTGGATCCCTCTGGGACACAGAATTTAAGCTCCCATGTGACCTGCTCTGCAACCTGAGTGACAGGTACTGGTGTTCCAAGATGGCTATACTTAGTAGGTTGGGATTTTCTGTTTGTTTGTTTGTTTGAAGCATTCCATACATGAGTTCTATATTTAAATCACTTCCAGGCCTTCTGCTCCCTTCTCCAACTCCTCTTGTGCCCCCATAATCACTTCTCAAATTCATAGCCTCATCTTCTCCAGTTATTATTGTTTTATACACCTATACACACACACACACACACACACACCCTGATCGTATGTATACATGTTTAAGGCTGATCACTTGGGATTAGAAGACTTGTAAGGACCTCTCTCAAGAAGACTGATGCTCCATCTTTTAGCAGCCATTAATAGCCTGCCCCTCTTCATGAAGGTGAGGCCTTGTGAGATTTCCCATGTATGTGTTGGAATGTCAAGCAGTATTGTCACTGTGTGGGTCTTGTTTAGATGATCACTGTTAAGATTTTGTGGGTATAGCTCCCTGGCAAATATGGAAGACACTATCTATCTTGTACCAGACATGTTGGTCCTCTGGCTCTAACAATCTTTCCTCCCCCTCTTTGGAGATGTTCTGCAAGTCTTCGGGGTTAAAGTGTAGATGTATTGGTGGGAATGGGCAGTCTTTCTTATATTTATAGGGGAGTGTGGGTCTCACTTCTCACCAAACAAAGTTCTTTATGCAGCAGAATCCACACTAATCAAAACGAAGAGAGTGACTAACTATGGGTGCATATTTACTAAGTTTTAATAAAAGATATCAGTAGCATTTTGTGGTTTTTGTAGGCTTAGAAAAGGCTAAAATTTAACATGCATTTTCAGAGTATAAATAAGAGTAAAATCCCAGTAAAACTCACAATGAATCCAAATATGACTGTGGAGAAAAAACCGCCAATGAATCCTTCCCAGGTCTTCTTAGGAGACAGCTAAGAGGTCAGATAAGATGGAGAGTTAGTACATGCACAAAACCAGGGAATGGAAGTGCCTCATTGAGTTCCCCAAATACCCTGTACATCTCTTATTTGAATGGGTTGACACTCTAGTTGTTCATGGCATAGTCATGAATGACCTCAGCTTGTGACTTGAGAAGCATCTAATGCAGAGCAGCCCCTCAAACATATGTGATGCAACTCTTCAAACATGTGATGGAGCCCCTCAAACATGTGTGATGTGTCGTGATAGCTATTCATCTCTATTAAGTAGCCCCTAAAGTTCTTTTTTTCTTTCCAAGGGCTATAAATTCAATTTCGAAATAGTTTCCTCATGACTTGCATGTTTCTCTTAGAATAAGATTGTTAGTCATCCCACATAGACATGCCAGTGCTGAACTGCTACTGACCAGAGAACAGAAGGAATACCACAAGGGACAGACACTTGACACTGCAGGTTGTCTCTTTTTTGTCAGGTAGGCTAGGGAGAGAGGGTCCCGCTCTGAAGCCCAATCTGGTCTAGAACTCAAAACCCTCCTGCCTCAGCCTCTCAAATGCTGAGATTATAAATTCGTACTATTGTGTTCAGCTCAGTCCTAATAGTCAAGACATACAAGATTTACTTCTGAAATGGAATATTTAAGCCTCAAATTATGCACCCACCCCCATATCTGTCTACCTTTAGACACAAGGAACATATTGTGCTTCTGAGAATAGACACTGGGTATGTTTCACAGTCTGGCTATTACTTCCCAGTCGATGAGACATTCAGAGAGAAAACTCTGGAGGTAAGTCTGGAACTTGGTTGCATAAGGGATAGGAGAGAAACCTCAGGAGTTGTGGTCCTAACTGCCAAAGCTGCCTTGAAAGGTAAGAATCAAAATGAATATTGATGTTATATACTCTCAGTGCTAACTCTCAGTGAGAAGGAATGGGTCACAGCCACAGCTACCTGAGCTCCTTGTAAACTTCTTATCTTGAAGCTAGGAAGCCGCAAAGCTAAACTAAATGGGCAGCGGTGGTTTCTTAACAAATCTGTTGAAAGTTTTGCCATGGAGAGGGAACCAATGCACCTCTCCTGAGATAATCCAGTGTCTACCTGAGTGCCATTGAGTGGACTCAAACTCAAAGTGTCTGCTGATAACTTAAGAGAGCTTCAAGCAAACTCTCACTGGATCACAAAGTCATTGCCCAATCTCCGGGGCAGATCACACAAATAATCCTCTTTGGTGAAATCACTTGAAAGGTATTCCAAACCAGCCCCTAGGACTCCAGCATGGGTCTCAGTCTCCCTCGGCTAGTTTAGAGCTCAGCACTGTGAACACACTGACTTGTTCTGTGGCAGCAGCTTTAGAAACATTTCAGAGGGCTGGAGAGTTGGCTCAGAGGTTAAGAGCACTGGCTGCTCTTCCAGAGGTCCTGAGTTCAATTCCCAGCAACCACATGGTGGCTTACAACCATCTGTAATGAGATCTGTGGCCTTCTTCTGGCCTGCAAGCATACATACAGACAGAATAGACAAAACACAATAAATAAATAAATCTTTCAAAATACTTAAAAAAAAAAGAAAGAAACATTTCAGAGATCCTCACCTTGCCTGTCAGCAGCCCTGCAGCTGTGTGGCTGCCCAGAGGAGATTTGATGGAGGTACCTAAGGGGCAGGCTACCCATGCTCCCCAGGACCACACTTCCTCACATCGCTTGCAACAGCATGAGGCTAATTCATACTCCATACTCCAGCAGTTCCTCAGTAACTGCTTTTCTCTCAGGCAAGGAATGCATCTGTGAGATTCCTATTTGGACACTTGGCTTAGTATGGAACCTGAATTCCTATTGGACACTTGGCTCAGTATGCAAACTGAACTCCTAATGGACACTTGGCTCAGTATGGAACCTAACATCTTATATGTAGACGTTACCAAAAAAAAAAAAAAAAAAAAAAAAACTTAAAAAACTAAACGAGTTGTAGGAAAAGGTTGGATTTTTCATGAAGAACTGGTTTCTTTCTTGCCCCAAATGAGATCTGAATAATGTAATTCATGTCCTTGTCTCCACCATCCATAAACAGAACCAAATCTAAGGCAAAACAAATGGGAGGCCTATTGAGGTGTGTTTCCCCCCCCTTGTCTCACTTCTCACTGTTGGTTTTAGATCCTCCAGTCTATTATTTAAATGAACTTGGAATTCTTTGAATGAGAGTACATAGAGACATGTGCCTTGCTCTCTTAGGAAGTTTAGCATAGCTAGCTGTGGGAATGCTGGGAGTGGGTTAAAAACCTGATCAGCGGTCGGGGAAGAGAAGGCAGCAGAGGGAAATGGAGCCAGGCCCCCACGGAGGTCCCAAGCAAATACATGACAGCAAACTCAGAGGGAATTATAAGTGAGCGGGTAGTCACTGCCCTGCAAGCTGCTTCATGTGCAAACATCAAGGTACCCAGGAAACGAAACGGGAAGGGCTTCCTCCTAAAATTTCTCATTACCTTAATTAAGGGAGTTCTTCCAAAAAAGAATCCGAAAAGGTAAGCAGTGATGTCATTGCAGATGACACTTGATATTGGAACAAGGAACCTTTAAAACATTAGCAGAGAAAAGTCTTCCGGTTAAAGAGGAAATGCTTATCCCGTTTACAGCTCAGAATGAACCCACGTGACAGCCCCTTTATATCAACAGTGGACAGAGCACAGCACAGCACATGGCAAGACCTGGGAGAAGCAGGAAATATCACACATGCTTGCTCAGCCAAGAGATATAACAAAATCTATCACTAATTAAGACACTTAGAACGCTGCTAAGGAAACCATTAAATAACCAATTGCTATAGTTACAAACATTTAAAACTTAATTTTGTAAGGAACAACTTGCAAAAAAAAAAAAAAACAAAAACAAAAAAACACTTCTTTGAGGAAGAGCAGCCTTGTGTCAAACAAGTCAGTTGTGCAGCCAGAGACTGAAGTGACAAGCATACACCAATCTCTTAATGCAAATTTTCTTTCAGGAAAATTATTCATTTTAATCCTATAATCTTAGCCTCCAACTTTGTCAAATTCTGATAGCTTTGCAGAACCTATTTATATAAGCCACATTTCTCCCTCAATTAAAAGGCTTTATATGGCATCCATCCCTAAACTAGATTGTTTACACAAACACATGCACATTTTGGTAAGCTGGCAAAACTCCAGTTAGCTATAAAAGATTCTAGTTGGTGACTCTATGATGGATGGGGTGGGAGAAGCCTCATTTTCATTGTCTATATGCATATACAGAGAACCTCATTAAGTCTCCATTCCAACTCATTTCTAATTATTAATTTGGATTACTTTTAATTAATAAAAACACTGTCTGGATCCACAAACCCCAGTGCTGTGGAGTGCACAGCTCTGCACATATACAGTCTAGCAGCTTGCTCCTTCCCAGAAGTGAAGTGGGTCCCACCAACTGTCACCTGGAGAAAGGTGATTATTTCTCCAACCCGCTTACTGAAAGCCAACTTTCACATACTTCTTGGATTTCATGTAAATAACATCTAACCTTTGGTTTTTAAAAAGTAACACTGGGGTTTATTAGCATCTGAAAATGGAACTGAGGAAGGCTTTCTGCATTTTACTTGGAACTAAAAGAAAAGTTTCCAGTCATCAGTGAAGTATTTTGTGCTCAGTTGTCAAACAGTAAGTAAAACTCAATAATTTTAATGGGATACATCCATGTTGCAGTGGAAACTGGAAAACTACTGCCCGGTGTTAGGGGGTTTAAAGGGCAAGACATAAAAATAGAACGCAGCATAACACAACATAATCCCTTACCATATCATGCCTTCAAACAGATTTTGGATGACAAGATGTGACTGAGTAACGGTTATCAGTAAAGTGACATGGGTCCATGCGAACTGTTAATAGCCCAACAACACAAAAATTAGCAAACATAGCTCATCAGACAGCCAATTAGCAAGAGCAATTTTGAAACACAAATTTTCTGCCATGACTTCTGATCAAAATTTGTAAGGTAAGGTCATACAAACAAAACAGTGCAGTTAGTAAATTACACTATTCACATTGTTTACTAAAACCCCAAAATAACGGAAATGCTTAGCAAAATAGTTGTAACTTATAAAAGAAATGCTAATGCCAGTGAGACACATTACAAAGTTTTAAAAACACAGAGAAAAAAAGCACCTTGGGTCACTCCACTTAAATCACTGAGAGTTAAGAGTGTTGCTGTGGTGTGTGGAAACTGCGGTAGTCTGAGGCTCCTTGCTTTCCTGGGTTCCCTGGCAACTTCCCCTGCAAAGAGTTATTCTAACTTTGAATGCCTGAAACTCAGGATTCAACTGTCTATTTTCCATCTCCTCATGCTGAAAGTTGATCTTTCTAGGTCTGTTCAATGACATTGAACAATCTCAAAATTTCAAAGCCCTGCGCTATTTGCCGCATCCATCATTCCCTCGCCATCCCTCCCTTACCCCTCATCCTGAGGGATGGCTGTTTTCATGACATTTAGCACAATTACTATGGACAGAATGTGAACCAAAAGCAGTCATCTGATATTCTCATCTGATAAATTTGTTTGGCAATTATGAAGTGATTTTTTTCAACAAATTCAGATTTTTATTTACTCCTAAACATTATTCTCAACTCAGCATGATATTTTATGTTGGTTGTTTTCCTCTCTTCTTACACTAAAGGAAACAAATACTTTATGCTGGTTGCTTTAAAATATACACTTTTTCAATAGGCAACTGGCCCTATTATATTCTATAGCTGGCCCTTTGTATCCAGTAAGTCCTATATCCACAAATTCAGGAGCCATAGATACACGGATCAAGATGTGCAGACTTATTTATTCTTGTCATTATTCCCTAAGCAACAACTATTTATACGTAGGATTTGATCATGTTAAGTCTTGTAATTAACTAGAATGATTTAAAGAGCACAGGAGGATACAAGTTGGCCACAGAGAAACAAAGGTCCCCCAGCGCGCACAGAGCCTGTTATTCACAAGGATCCTAGAACCAAGTTCCTAACAGGAGATTTGATTACTTCCCATTGGTATTGATGTTCTTAGATTTCATTAAGATTTTTACTCTAGGATCACCTGAAATTAGAAATGTAGGAAATACTATAAATTTCTTAGCAATAATAACTTATAGAATGTTTTCTTAAAGAAATTCCCAAGTGGGGAGCATGATCTAATATGAAATAATCCTTGCTGACCCCAAGTTTGCTTCTCTCAGAACTGCATTGCATGTTAGACTCATAAGTAGCTCCACTTCAGGAAAATGAGAAGTTCACTGTGTAAAGTAATGGATCTCAGGAAACATAGACCGCTTCTCTCCACTGCACAGAGTATCTGAGGGCAACGATGACCTATGACTGACCATAATGACCACAGAAGCACATGCTCTGCACTGTGCTGATGCCAACAGCTGGCGTCCAAGGTCAAATTCAACAAAACCACATGGCACAAGCTTGTTAGGTTTCAGCAACTATCCCAGAGATGAACTGCCACTATTAGGCAGTTCAAACATAAAGTTTGACAAAACTTTAAAGTTTGACAAAAGTCAAACATATTGTTTACAGTTTTTTCTTTGAAAATACTTTAAAATGTTTCAGGAACAACTTAAGGACCATTATACATTTTAAATCTCAAAACCTTTTCAACTACAACATTTTGTACCTAATGAACCCTAAAAATTAAAACATTCTTCGGGCTCAGGCAAGACATTAAATAGCTAATTTGACTGTTATCTCTTCAAGTCCAGGAAAAAGATGAGCACAGCTATGGGAAACTGTCGATACACACCATATAAAACTGCAGGCGGTAGTGTTTCTTCACCAAGCTCAGTACAAACATGCAGAAACCTGTTCAAAAACAAAAGACATGCTGTGTGATTCTGTACTGAGGACTAAGGGATCCCCTGAATGCCACCTCCCCCATCCAAGCATATTTCAGCCCATCACTCAATGCCACCTCTCCCACTTTACAGTAAGTATTTTAAGTAGTTTCCTGAAGGGACGATTCTGAAATCTCTGAAATGCCAGATATATTCCACGGGAAAAAAATTCAATCACTATCTCCTACATTAATTAGATGAACTATTCCCTTGCTAATATGGAAGCTGGAATATATATTAAGTCATCAATTTATCAAGAGCAGGCTGATAGGTCAATGCAGCATGTGCAGGCACCCTAGGCTTAATCTTCAGCATAGCAAATCCCGCCATATAAAATGTCAATTGAGAGTATGCATGGAATGCATTCAATGTATGTATAGCATGAAAATTAATAAACACTACGGCAGCTGATGCCTATTAAACACGCTATGTTCCTACCTCCCATCTAAGCTTTGACATGTGTTAACTCTATCCTTCCAATACCCTTGATGCAGTTATCCTTCATCATCTCCACTTCACAAATGGAGACAGAGGTTTTGTTTCTTCTCCGAGGATCACAGAATTAAAAGAAATGTCTAGATGCTCCTGGCCCTCAAGTCACTCAGTTCCATGGAAATGCAAGTGACACGAATAACTTGAAGTGACAAAGAATAACCTGAAATTTCTCAAACCAGTAGTAAAAATACAGTAAAATATAATGCTTTTTAAGTAATTACTTATTTCTCGGTGCTTGAGTTGCATCAAATATATTTATTACAATAAAGATGTATTGCAGTTGTCCAAATCAGTGAAACTCCCTAACCATATACTTTCCTCAGAACACCAGTAAATTTATAAAGATGCATCTAGCAGAGGTGGATACTGAAAATGCATAAACCAAGTCTAAGATAAGTGAGTTTACAGTGAATCTGACACAGAAACCAAACCTATATGTCGACTGACTTACAACACATAAGACATAAGATTTTGCGTCTCTGTACTCAGTTTATTGGCAGTATAACTAAGGATGCATCTCTCCTCAGGACAGAGACTCAAACAGCAGCTGCCTCTGTCTATTTTTGATAACTGCCTTTAAATGTCCAATGTGAAGGATTATGGCAAAATAAGAGCACTGGAGAACTGACCACAGTTCCTGCCTCCTATTTGTCATCCATTGAGTAATCAGGCTTAGTGGACTACAAAGCCAGTAGGGAAACATTCTTTGGTGCAAACATCCAAAAGCTGTAACATTCAGGATGGGGAGGTAGAGAGGGCATTAATGCAAGCAGAGAAGGTCTAAGAACATGGAGTCTGTGCTGCTTCAACTGCCAAGTGTGTAAAAGTCTCATTTTAGATTTTCTGCCTTTAAGTTTTATTTCTGTGAGGACTAGATTTTGTTTTATTTCTTTATTGAGAATTTCATGTGCAAATGCTGTAGTTATCGTTTTTCCTCTCTCTAACTCCTCTTATGATCCCCAACTCCTCAGATTCATGAATGTTCACATGCCGAACACTGAAATGGGAGCCATTTCTATCACAAGTGAACAAAATCAACCCAAATGCATCAAAGACCTCAATGTGGAACCTGAAATGCTATAGCTTCTGTAAGGCAATACAGGCAGGACCCTACAGGACTTCGGTGAAGCAGACTCTCTCAAAGGGACTCTATTTGCCTAGGTATTAAGGCCAAGAATGACAGATGGGGCCTCACCAAACTAAACATTTTATACAGCAAAGGAAAGAGTCGGTCAAGTGAGGAGGAAGCCACAGAGCAGAGAATCTGTGACAGCTATTCACCCAACGAAGGATTAATACCCCAAATATACAAAACTCACAAAACAGTCAAGAAAATAAATGACCCAATTAAAAACCAAGCCAGAGATCTGAACAGAGAGTTCTCCAAAGGAATAAAAATGACTAAGAAATATCTCAGAATGTGTTCAATATCCTTAGCAATTAGGAAAATGCAAATTAAAACACTTTGAGATTTCATCTTACCACAGCAGAATGGTTAAAATCAAGAAAACAGAGCTGGGTGGTGGTGGCACATGCCTTCACTCCCAGCACTCGGAGGCAGAGGCAGGTGAATCTCTGTGATTTCAAGACCAGCCTGGTCCACAGAGTTCCAGGACAGCCAGAGCTGCTATACTTGAAAAAAGAGAGAGAGAGAGAGAGAGAGAGAGAGAGAGAGAGAGAGACAGAGACAGAGACAGAGACAGACAGAGAGAGACAGAGAGAGAGAGAGAGAGCAGCTGACAATAAGTGTTAGTGAGGATGTAGGGAAAGGAGAACTGTAGTTCCTTGTTAGTAGAACTGCAAACTGGTGCAGCCACTATGAAAAGCAATGAGGAAAACTCTCAAAAAGCTAAAATCAGATCTGTCATATGACCTGGTTATACCACTCCTTGGCACATGCCCAGGAAGACAAACACTACACATTCTCTTATCTCCAGATCATACCTCCAGTCTTCAGATGTGAGTATATCATCTGGAGTAACCATGGAAACCAGGGAAGTAAAGGGGGGAGCTCTAGAGAGGAGACTAGTGGGACCCAGGTGCTATGGAGGGGAAATGGGGAAAATGGGCTGGGGGGGGCAACTCACCTGGGGAGGGATAAGGGAAGGGAACACAGAGGGAGGGAGATAAATAACACTAAGGATCTGTGACAAAGCCAAAGGAAATAGTGTGTGTGTGTGTGTGTGTGTGTGTGTGTGGTACAGTTTAAATCCATGTCACCTTGGTAACAATGCTCTACCCAAAATCCATAAACTATGGTGGCTATTTTTAATTGGTGTTTGGACACAATCTACAATCACTTGAGAAGGATCTAGAAATTCTAGACAGGCTGGCCTGGACTGGGTGTGTATAGAGAGCAGGAGAGCACAAGCAGTCAAACATTCTCTCTCTGCTCCTGATGTGGGTGTGACTGGCTGCTTCAAGTGCCTGTCTTGACTTCCCCTGGATAGTGGACTGACCAAGAGAGAGCTAAAACAAACCTTCTCTCCCCAGAGTTGCTTTCTGTCAGAGACTTTCATCACAGCAACAGAAATGAAACTGAGACAACTCCCACAGCAGGGAGATATATCTTGCAGTGCAAGTAGCAATGGGACTCTGTGCCTGGAGTAAAAGGCTAATGGGGACCAGGCAGAGGCAGGGACTGCTGGAACCTCCCTGAGCACAAGCACATCCCTCAGTGCCCCAGAACAGCATCAGCACTATCTTGATATCATTAGCTATGAGCCATTCACACTGAAATGCACCAAACAAAATGGGCAGTTCAATCATTCAGTATTTTTCTACTGGACATTTCACCCAGAACAATCTTGACAATCTGTTTTGATTGGCCCAGTTTCACCTACAGGCTACAGTTACTCAAGAACTAAATACATCAAGACCACATGTCTCTGACTTCACAGGAGGAGGTTAAAGTGTTGGTGGTTTGAATAAGAATGGCCTCTGTAGGTTCATACATTTGAATGCCTAGTCACAAAGGAGAGGAAACATTTGAAAAGATGGGAAGGATCAGGAGGAAAGCCTCTCCTTCCATCCATAGGTCAGCCTGTGGACCACAGTTCTCAGTTACGGCTACAGTGACATGCCTGTCACCATAATCCCTGCCATGGTGACAATGCAGTAGGCCTCTGAAACTGTAAGCAAGCCCCCAGTTAAATGCTTTCTTTTATAAATGATGCATGGGTCATGGTGTCTCTTCATAGCAATAGAACACTAAGACATCAAGTTTATCTAAAGCTAAATATTTTTCAAGAAAAACATTCTTTTTAATAATAGATATGAAAATCATTATCATTTACAACTACATGGCTACTTGAATATTTTATGCTTAAAACATAAAAGTGTGCACATATATCGTAACTCTAAAGATCATTTATATATTTGGATCCATAGTCATACCTTTTTGTTAACTAAAGAATATTTATATAGCTATGTTTTCAATTAAAATCATAGGCTACAGGAAAGGCCACTATAATGGTTATTTTTTGTCAACTTGACACAAACTAGAGTCACCTGGAAAGAGGGGCACTTAACTGAGAAACTGCCTCCATCAGACTGGCTTGTGAACATGTCTGCAGGGCATTTTCTTGATTAACGATTGATGTGGGAGGGCCTAACCCACTGTAGGCGGTGACACCCCTAAGCAGGTGGTCCTGGAGTGTATAAGAAAGTAGCTGAGCAAGCCATAGGAACAAGCCAGTGAGCCATGCTCCCCCATGGTCTCGCTTCACCCCTTGCCTCCAGGTTCTGGCTATAGCCTCCCTCGGTGATGGACCACAATCACGAAATATAAACCAAATAAACTCTTTCTTCCCCAAGTTGCTTTTGATCAGTGTTTTATCACAGCAACAGAAAGCAAACTAGAACAGGTCCCTAACACACTCAGCTGTAATGAAACAGCTCTTAATGCAGTTATGTGGCCCTGTCCTGGCAGAGCTGGAGGTGCGGATGCAGGCATGAGCATCAGCACCCCATCCCAAGCACTCCCCAAGCAGCAGCAAGAGTCAGTTTCCAACAGACAAACAGAAGTGTCTACAGCAAAGTATAAAAGCAAATCAGATGGTTGAGCAGGTCATGAAAAGTAAGGGGAAAATTGAGAAACTGGAAAAGTTCAAAAGACACAATACAGCAGAATTCAGAAAATTAGTTAACAATTTAAAAACTTATCAAGTATTTGATATTCCAGATGCAAGACACACACACACACAAAGTGAGATAGGCACGAGAATTACCGAGCTCACTGTACACCTGGAGAGATGGGAAATAGAAAACTAAAGCTGTTCATAGGTTTTAGTATTAGTGATTAAGCAACTCAGTAATCATGTGGCATCGTCAATTCTAAAACAGCCACGAGGAGCCTCGATTTGAACAAGGTGCTTAAACTCCCTCCTTATTCTTTACCTTACTGGTTGCACTCCTTGCCAACACTCAACCTTCTAGCAGCATCTTAAGTAAATTGAGAGGCATACTGCATTG